GGGCTGGCTGGCATGTGGTGCTGGGGGATTGAACCGCGGTCCATGATGCTTTTGCTAAGCTTGTTCTAAGTAGGTGCTTTAGACCACTGAGCCATCTCTCCAGCCCCTGTTTTGGATGTTATTGTGAGAGGAATTGTTTCATTCATTTCTATTTCAGTGAGTGTATTATCCATGTAGAAAAAGGCTGTTGAATATATATGAGTATTGACTTTGTGTCCAGCTACACTGCTAAATTTTGAGCTGCTAAGTCTAGCAGTCTTGGTGGAGTTTTAGGGGTCTTTAAAAGTATCATGTCATCTGCAAATAATGATAATTTGCTTTCTTCCTTTCTTACTTATTTTTATTGTCTAGTTGCTTTGGATAATGTTTGCCAAACTATTTTGAATAAGCATCATAACAGTGGACGTCCTTGTTTTGTTCTGATTTTAGAGTTGAAAATTCTTTGTCCCTTTAGTATCATGTTGGCTCTCAGTTTGTCATGGATGGCTTTTATTGGATTGAGATAAACACCCTCTATTCTAATTTTCTGTGTGGTTCTTATCATAAATGGGCTTTGTTCTTTTTCAAATGATGTTTTTGTACCTATTGAGATGATCATATTTTTTTTATCCTTGGTTCTGTTAGCATGGTATATTACATTTGTAGTTTTGCATGTGTTGAACCACCCCTACATCCCTGGGATGAATGCAAATATCCTAAGCAAGGCATCTTCTTAGATTGTATCCTTCTCTGGTTTTTGTATCAGGGTTACACTTCCTTCCAGGAATGAATTTGGGAGCATTGATTCCCTTTAATTTTTTTAAAAGTATGTGAGAAGCATCAGACCTTCTCTAAACTTCTTGAATTCAGTAGTGAATTCATCAGGATCTTGACTTTTCTTTGTGGTTAGGTTTTCAATTACATCTTCAATTTCATTGAATGTTGTTTGGCTAGTTAGAATTTTTATATTTTCTTGATTCAGTTTTGATAATTCATATGTATCTAAGAATCCGTCCATTTCTTCTGCATTTTCCATACCATTAGAATACTGTTTCTCAAAGTAGATATTAATAATCTGCATTTCTGCAGGATCTGTTGTGATTTTATTGATTTTGTTCCTAACTGTATGGATTTGAGTCTCTCTGTTCCATTTTTGATAAAGTTGTCTAAGGGTTTATTGATCTTATTATTCATTCAAAGAGCCAATTGTTTGTTCATTGATTCCTTGTATTGTTTTCTCAGTCTTCACTGCATTAGTTTATGCTCCAATCTTTACATTTTCCTTCCATGTACAAGTTTTGGTCTTTACTTGTTCTTCTTTTCCTAGAAGTTTTAGGTTCAATATTAAGTTGTTTATGTGTGCTTGCTCTTTTCCTTGGATGTTGGAATTCACTGCTATACATTTCCTTCAAAAGACTGCTTTCACTGTACCCCATACATCTCAGTATGTTATATTGGGATGATCTTTTAATTGTAGCAAATGTCTGATTTCTTCTTTTATTTCATCTGTGTTAAGGAGGGTGTTATTTAATTTCCATGTGTTTTTGAATTTCTTTGACTTGTTTTGCCATTAATTTCCAATATCCTTGCATTATGTTCTATTAATATGTATGCAATAATTTCAGTTCTTTTGAATTTGCTTAAACATGTTCTGTGAGCTAGTTTGTTGTCTATTTTGGAGAATGTCCATGTGTAGCTAAGGAGAATGTATTCTGATGTTATTATTTTTAATATTTACTACTTTTTTTAATTATTAT